ACACACACACACACACACACACACACACACACACACACACACACACACACACACACACACACACACACACACACACACACACACACACATGCGCGCACGCGCACACACACACACACATGCACACACATGCACACTCGCACACACATGCACACACATGCACACTCGCACACATGCACACACACACACACATGCACACTCGCACACATGACACACACACACACTCACACACACACACACACACACACACACACACTCACACTCACACACTCACACTCACACTCAAACACACACACACACAAGCTCATGCACACTCACACACACACACACACACAAACAAGCTGACAGCTCTTTATGCTGTCAGACTGAAGTTAAGTGTCGAATGATGATCGTTTGCATGAAATTATAATTATCATACCATGTGTTTGAGTAGCCATTTAGCAGACTTTTGTATCCAAAATGACATTTAGCACAGGTTCAGTTTCTCTGAAGTGACCTGATCACGTTTGATCTAAGGGTAATAATGATAGTTCATGGATTAACCCTTGAACCTACAACTTATTGATTACCAGGCTAGACAGGGTTAATTCACCCAAAATTATTTAATTTGATCATTTAATTTGATTATGTAATTCATAAAACATAATCCTTATTATTATTGTTGTTAAATTGTTTATATTGTATTTTTATAATATAAATAATAATTGTATTTTTTTTTTAAACATGTACAATAAAATGACATTATTATTACATATCACAATATATGATATTGCTATAATACATTTTTATAATATGTAGAATCATTTTATATATTTAATAAAATATATACAATATAGTCATGATTATTATTATATATTATTATAAATAATTTTGTCATTTTGTAAAAAATATATGCAATGCAATGATATTTATCCTCATTATTAATATCATTATTGTTATTGTTCTTCTAAATTATAATTGTATATTTTCACAAAAAAAAGAGTACAATATAATAGGGATGCAGCGATTAACCGGTTTCACAATTAACCGCGCTTTAAAATGTCACGGTTAATTAATCGTAAAGGCTCCGCTACACCGAGTGTTTCTGTTGCACAGAACGGAACAGTTGCAACTTGCGCAAAACGAAAACAAAGTTACACTAGCGGTGCACCAGCTTAAAATACTGTGCTTATCAGAGACACGGAGGCTACTACACACACTAGATGAACTATGACAGAGGAACCAAACAGCGATCCTTTATTTCCCCCAGAGAAATGACTCGATAGTGTGGGACTATTTTGGGTACACCAAGAATGACCAGGGTGTCATTTAAATATTGCCGTAAAAAACTGCTGCTAAAGAGCGAATACACGGCTTTAAACTATTTTAATGCACGACGTGAAGGCAAGACTGACGCAAAGCTACGGCTCATTAGCTCAGAATTCTGCCCGCTTCAGATCAGACAAAGATGAAATAGTATGGTAATATCACATTAATTTGAATTAATTAATTATAACATTTAGCTACTTTAATTAATTATTCAATCGAGAGAGAGAAGTGTGTGTGAACCTGCGTCAGCGCGTCTCTCCTCTACAAACATGCAAGTTTAGTTACCCTCTCCTTGCTGATGAATATGTAGCAATTCAGTATCTAAGCTATTTTATTGATAAAAGTCACGGGGCAGGGTTCACAACAAGTTTGTTTCCTCCTGTATGTGTGCTCAGCGCGATCTCCGATCTCACAAACCAAAATAATAGACATGATTTTCTCAGGCCACATGTAAAATCATATTAATTATTATAAAAATTATTCAAATGAATACGTATGGATGACAGTTGATTACAATGATAGTTCAGTTTATTCCCCTCATTATTAATAGTTTCCCCTGTGGGATAAATAAAGTTAATAGTTCTATATTAATAATACTTATTAACATTGTTATCTATTATCCCTTTTATAGTATTATGCATAAGTCAAAAACCAACAAGATTTTTTTTTTCACCATGTTTCCAGTTTTCTGCCTCGGGTCCAAAAGAAATGTAAAGAATGTACAAACTGAAAACACTAAATACTTGTGTGATCTATTTTCATTAGTTATTTTCAAAAGGGAAATACTGACATGTTTAGAGAGCAGAGGTCACCTTTTTAATTCCAATTGGAGAGATCGACATTTGTTTGTCTTTATTATTATTATTTTGTGCTGTATTATTGGTTACTGTGTTATCTGTTTCTAAAGGCAGCAATAAATAACACTTTATTATCTAAAGAGTGTCCATGCGATTTTATACATGAATAATTTTGTGAAATGAATAAATGCATAATAATCGTCATAATCGTGATTATTTCTCAGTACCAACAAAATCTTTAATCGTTGCATCCCTACAATATAATGATGAAAGTATTATTTTTATATTTATTTAGTATTACATTTATATAATATGTATATAATCTATTTTTTATATATGATATAGTCATATATCATCATTATCATTATTATTATTATTATTATTATTATTGTTGTTGTTTTTGTTTTTATAATATAAACAATAATTTTAAATGTTCTAAAAAATATATGCAATGTAATTATATATTTATCCACATTAATTAATTTATATTATTGTTGTTATTATTTATAATTATATGTACAATAATTTATATAATATAATGATATTTATCATTATTATTGTCACTATTTACATTCATTATTATTATATTTATATTGTATATATTTTATATGACATTTTTATCATATAAATAATACTTTAAATTTTGTCAATTTTTTTATATATGACACAAAAGCAGTGTTAAGTCGCTGGGGGATATTTGTAGCAATAGCCAACAATACATTGTATGGGTCACAATTATACATTTCTCTTTTATGCCAAAAATCATTAGGATATTAAGCAAAGATCATGTTCCATGAAGATATTTAGTAAATCTCCTACCGTAAATACATCAAAACTTAATGTTTGATTAGTAATATGCATTGCTAAGAACTTCATTTGGACAACTTTAAAGATGATTTTCTCAATATTTTATTATTTTTATTTTTTTGCACCCTCAGATTCCAGCTTTTCTTTGTATCTCAGCCAAATATTGTGCTATCCTAACAAACCATACATCAATGGAAAGGGTGGCACAACCAGTTATTAGATTTAGGGGGCAATTACTTTTTCACGTAGAGCCAGGCAGGTTTGGACAGCTTTTTTCCCTTAATAAATGAAATCATAATTTCAAAACTGCAGTTTATATTTACTCAGGTTATCTTTGTGTAATATTTAAATTTGTTTGATGATCTGAATCTTTTAAGTGTGACAAATATGCAAACAATTAAAAAAACAGGAGGGGGGCAAAAACTTTTTCACACCACTGTATATAATCTCAATTTAAAAACATTGACCCCTATGACTGGTTTTGTGCTCCAGGGTCACATATATTTAATGAATACATTATTATTATTATTATTGCATGTAATTTTTTTAAAATAAAAAATAAT